TTTTTTATTAATTATTTAAATCGTTTATATTTATGTTTTAGTGATTACATTGATACAAATCAACCACTTGAAATGCGACCCAAATCATCACTGGTGTTATCATATTAATTAAACGTTTGATCCAAATTATGTAAACTTACACATTATGTATTATTAAATTACAAATTTTCTTTGAAAACGCACTGAAAGATTAAATAATATTACATCTTAATAGTTGCTTGCATTTTTTAATTATCATAAAAAGCATTTGGCAATTCTAAACTTAGTGTTAAATATAAATCATAAACAATTATTTTCTGTTTAGTTGTTTATTTTAAAATTATTAGATAACCATTGTAATGCTATACCTACGAACTATTTCATGTTGAAAAATTCTTAAATAGTTAAAATAACATTTCAAAGAAGAAGAAATATATTGCAGTCGGACAAAAACAAAATTTTATAATTTTTTTTAAGGGTCAGGAGATACTTCAATATATTGAGGTATATTTTACAAGAGAATATTTTTTATTTTTGATAGTAGTGTTCCATACGGCGAACATACATGAATACGTTCATATCTCATAAAATCTCCTTAAATTTGCTAATTATAAATTATTTTACATAGTTTTTTATACCTACATAACCTTCGTTGATGAATGGAAAAGTCAAGTATATTCCACTTGAATGAGTTTCATGCATAGGATACAAGGACTAAATTAATATAATGTTTTAATAAATAATGCACTGTTTATTTTAAGGTTTTTCCATTAATTATCAATTAAACAGTTAAAAACAGGTTTTTCATTATAACTATTTAGGAATGTATAGACATAGTAAGAAAGTTTTAATGTTACAAAACACATAATTCCATAATAAATTATTTATTTACAAATAATATTATTTTTGCTTTTATTTACAAATAATCTTTTTAGAATATTGAGAATATAAATTAGAGTTGCGTTAAAAAATACTCCAATGCATAACTGTGACTTGACATTAAACAATGAATACTTTTAAGTGGAATTAAAAACAAAAAAATGTTGTCTGCATGCAACCACCAAAGAAGAAACCCAATAGAATGAAGCAACAAAACTCACTGAAACATAAATTAAACACAAACGAAGAAAAAACATTAAGACAAGTAACAAAAGAAAAAAAAACAAAAAATGCATTAAAATATTTGTATACACAAAACATTCTTCAATAATACCATAGGCGCAATTTGGGGGAATGCTTCGAATTATTTTGCACCCCTTAAATTTATAACAACAGCCAATAATGCATTTCTAAATTGGTTAATATACTTGAACTATTTTTTTAATTATTTTAATGCTCTCAAATGGATTAAATCAATTTTATGATTTTATATTCTAAATATTTTTTTTTACTTTCAGCTGTTATGTTATAACAGCTATCAATTGTTATTTTTAATATCAATTTATTACTTGTATTAAAATTTTATTAATATTAGGATATTGTTTTTTTTTTTTTTTTTTTTTTAATGTTTGAAACCCATACTATTTCCTAAGTCCATATTGCGAACTATAAAGGGTATAAGGTTAGTAAATATGTATGCAAAAGAGTTAATTTCCCACAAATAATTCAGGAAAATTTAAAAATAAAACAAACTTAAATTGCACCTATGTCAATTAATTTGATTAAATAAGTATCGTAATATTTATCAATTATTTTATATTATTTTACCAACCATCACTATTATTTTTTTCGGGGATCATAAATCTGTTAACCAAAATTATTATAAATTTTAATTTTATTTTTGGCATAATAATTATTTAAAATGTGTATCATACAACAAATGGATGAGTATCTTTCATCATAATATATATTAAACAATTTAAACAACAAGCATTTAAAATAAATCGACGGGCAAAATTATAAATCAATTTAATATCATAGGTAACTGAAATAAAATAAAACAACCTATTTTCCTTTATACTATCTTGGGAGTTTTAATAATGTTAGGTACCTGCTTGTAAAATGTATTATACTTTTAGAAAATAAGAAAATATTTAGAAGATTTATAATGTTATGTTATAAAGATTACAAATAATCAATATCACTCATGGTTATGAATTGAGTTATTATAGTAATATTAAATGTGTTCAGTGCAATATTGATTTTTAGACGAACAGATTATTAAAAAATCTATAAGCTTTACGTGTGAACTATTTCTGTTTATAGTTACTAGTTGAGAGTCCAATAATAATTGTTTTAGGTGTAATTTTGTCGTATTAATTGCATTTTAAAAAAATATTCTGAATTGAGTTTTTTTTCGATTAATAACAAAAATATTAAGTTATTAAGATAACTATTTTAAATTATTTCATAATTTTATTATTTTCAAATCAAAAGTTTATACGTTTATTTCGTCAAAAAAAAAAAATTGCAAACAAGTCTTTTTGACAAATTGAATGGAGATTTTATAAACATTTTACTTTGGCAGTTTTTTGCATTTTTATCGAATTTCATTGCGGTTTTGACAATCACAAATTGATAAACGAGTCAAATTTTTATAATATAAAATAACAATTGGACATTTTTAAAGCTCGAATAAGTTTACTTTTTAATTAAAAAAAAAAAACCCATCATTATAAACAATTACTAACTCTATTGTTCACGCTGTGAATCTAAATTGGTAATTTCGAAAGCTATTTTTAAATTAGTTAATTATAATGACCAATACTCGATTTTAACTAATCGCTAAATTTTAAATTTTATATATTAATATGTACACTCACAATACACATCACCCATAGGTAATGTTATTATATTTGTAACGTAAAACTAATTCAAGCGTTATATATTAGGTAAATTATATGTATGATTTCAAAGCTAGAATATATATAATGTAGTTATTAGATAAATAGTGCAATTATTTGCAATTAAAAAAAAAAAAATCAGTATTATAAATGAACAGTAAAAAACGAAAAAAGTTATAGGTATATTGTATGTATAGAAATCAATCCGACTTTGGTACCCTGTGAAGCGGAATATCAAACAAAAAATTTTAATTTAATAGCGCCTTAGTTAGACATAATAAAACAATTTAAATTTTAAAGCAATCAAAAAATTCAAATTTAATTTTTTTTTTTTTAACGAAGAAAAATATATGAAATGTTTTTATGTATAAATGCTAATAAATAAATATAAAATACACGCCATTAGAATGGTAAATTAAGTACCATGCACGCCACACATATCAACCATAAAGGCCTCATATAACTTATACTGAAGTGTAATTCTACCGAAGATTATTGTTTAATATACATATAAAATATTATTGAAATAATAAGGTGATTAACTGATTAAATAGCGTACGCATACAAAACATTACTACAACATAACAATATGATCGATGGACACGATAAAACCGGTGTCTAGTGGATATCGATTTGTAAAAAAAATATACTTTCTATTGAAAACTAGACTTATAGAAAAAAACTTTATATAAATATGTATCTATTATAATATAATACTAAGTAAATGAATAATTATTATAATATTCTCATCTTGTAGACTTCTATAAATCATTAATAATGCGTATAATTAATAATTGTTTTTGTACAACATTAAAAATACAGACTACAGTTAAATAAAAAAATACTAAAAAAATATTACATTACTACGGTGGTTCACGGGGCTAATAAATTGATGTAATACGATCTACCATGGATACAATGACGGAAACGAATTCCGAAATCTTTCATTAACACTAACCAACGACGACGATCCGAACAGCCTGTACCATTCTGTCAATGACGATCCGGGACTTGTAGTTATACTGTCCATATAAATTACGGCCACTCCCATAAATACTTTTCTTCCTTTTTCGCGTCCGTAATCACCCCACACCGACACCTGCGAAATAATGAAGTATAATTATTATATGAGTAAACATTAATGTATAATAAGTATAAATGATAAAAATAGGAACTCGTTAGTTTTTAAACCAATTTTCAATTGGGAAAAATTCGATTCTTTTTAATTCAGTATATTTTAAATCAACTTATAACAATTATTTATTTTGATTGTAGAAACAGTACCCTAAAATTTTAATATCGTTATTACTTATAACTTATAAGCATACCTACTTAATTATTTGATAAGTTTTTGAACAATTATATACATTTTTTTTTATTTAATATTATATATAACATTAATATAAGTACCTATATATTTTTTTCTACACACATTATAACTATTTTAAAATATAAATTGAAAAAAATTAAATTTATTTAATGATAAAAATATTCAACATTCGAAGCGATTATAAACAATAAAAAAAAAAATACATTTACAAAATTAATAGAAATTTTTATTTTTATTAAACGTAGAGCAGTTCAACGAAAAATATAAAACCATTTTATATTTTTTAGATACTTTTTTTATTTATAGATCAAATATCAATAATGTATTGTTTGGTTAATTTAACAATAACAGATAGATTTCATGGCTATTGAAACAGTTATGTTGTTTAGAAATTGTTTAAGAAATTAGAAAATTAAACATATAGTAATAGAAGTAAAAACAAATATTTTAAACTTACCTGAATTAAACAACCGGCAGGGGAACTTTTGAATTTGAGCATTTCCATGTACTTAGGTTGCAAGCTCTCTTTAATTGTTTTTGTACGATGTTTTTCCACACACTTTTTGCCTTTCACGAGATATACTTTAACATATGTATCTGTTAAAATATATTATTATTTTTAATTTAACACATAATATAAAAAAAATCTACATTAAAAATAACTGAAATTGATTTAAATAAATTAGCATTTAAATTAAATTAGAATTATCTTTAAAATACATTTTTAATTACTTTCTAATCTAAACAAAAATATTATGTATAATATATTTTTATACCTGGAAGCTTTGTTTTTGTTTCTTTAACATTAATTAGATCTTTGGCTTCAAAAACAGTGACTTCCATAAAGTTAACGAAAAAATTGAATCCGATTTTAACGTCACCTCGATAAGGAGTCCCCAATATTTGTCGACTAACTTTTTGTCCTGGTCCAAGTTTACCAATAAACGTAGTCACTTCCCCTTCAGTGGACTGACCAGCGCTAAAATGTCGAATAAAAAAAGTTAAATTTTACAGTAAAATAAATTAATATAAACGAAGGTTAGAAAAAATAATACTACATAATATTTACGACCGTTTGAAAAAGATAGATTATTGGCATAGATCGCCATAGTGCTTGAAGAAATTGATAGTCATGTGAAGACCAAACATGAGAATAGTATATATTACATAATTATTGTAATAACAAGTAATTACCGTTAA